AAACAATCCGCCCACTTCGGCCTCCCAGAGAGCTAGGATTACAGGCGTGAGCCACCGCGCCCGGCCAACAGTCTGCTTCTGATGCTCAGCACACTCGTCGCTGGTTTCATGCCCAGCTAGACTGTAAACCCACTGAAGGCAGGTCTGCGCCTCTCCAGATGAATGCCGCACCCCCGGTGCCCAGCACAGAGCCTGATACCTTTGGTGCTCCTCAACTGCTGGGGCCAGGAATGGGGCGTGAGGTGAGCCACCATGAACCCAACCTCACACTTCAGAAACACAGGCTCAGAGAGCTGGCGTGGTCGAAGACACAGCTCAGAGCTGCAGTCAACACCAGCCCAGGTCTCCATGCCTCCAGACTCCACGCTAGACATAACACCACTTATTCTTTATGGTGACCACATTATATTACTAATACGGGGTTATTATAATTTATTTAACTGGCATTTGGGTTCTTGATAATTTTTCACACTTACAGACAGCTGTAATAAAATCTTTGCCCACATCCTTAAGCATTTCCAAAGCCCAAAGCCCTAGACTGAAATTGCTGGGTCTGTACATTTTAAGTTTGCACTACTAGGGCACCATCTAAACAGGTGGTACCAATTTACCGCCCCTACTTCCCTTAAATTTCCTTTCCTGTACAGCATGTGTTCAACTTTAAAACTCCCCAGAGACTGTATTAGAGGTTTCTGGGACAATTTCTAAGGGTGTTTAAACTGTACAGGGTTTCTCTTAACAGGACCTACCTTCTTGACAGCTATCAAAAAGGTTTTGATTTTGGAGACTTTTTAAAAGACCTCGGCAGTTTAGCCCTCTGGGAATTAGGTTCAGCTGTGTCTAGTAAGCCCACGTGAACCCACGTGACCAGGTCTGAACAACATTAGGGTGTTGACGCAGAGAAAAAGGAGGCAGGGAGGTGATCAAGTGCACCCAGAGGTCTGTTCCCCCATCACTCACTGGGAAACCAGCTGTCACCTCAACTCTGAGTGGGAGTTTCTTCTTATGCTGTTTTGAAAATAGAAGCCATAAACCAGCTTGGGAAGAACTTTTCCTCAAGCAGAACAGAGAAACAGAATAGAGAAAATTAGAAGAGTTGGTGAGATTAGCCAGTCCACCCTCATCACTTATTAGATGAGAAAATGGAGACCCAGAGATGCTGAGTGACTAGTTCAAAGTCACACAGAACAGTAGAAGAAGGAGTATCAGAACCCAGCTCAAAGCCAGGTATTCTAACTTCTGGCTGAGTGTTTTAGTGTTTTAGTGTCTTAGTCTGTTTTGTGTTGCTATAACAGAAGACTGCAGACCGGGTCATTTAAAAAGAACAGATTTATTTCTTACAGTTTGGGAGGCTGGGAAGTCCAAAATCAAGGGGCTGGATCTGGCGAGGGCCTTCTTGCATCACCCCCATTGCAGAAGGGAAAAGGGCAAAAGATTTCAAGGGGGTCGGGCGGATGAACTCATCCTTTACAAGGACACCATTCCCACGATAACAAAGTCACTCCCACAGTAATGACATGAATCCATTCATAAGGGCAGAGCCCTCGTGACCTAATCACCTCTTAAAGGTCCCCCGTCTCAACACTGGGACATTAGCAGGAAGCATCTTTGGTCTCCACTGACAGTCCTTTAAGTCTGTTTTTCTTCCAATCTCAGTTGCTTTTGAAAATGACGGGAAAGCTAAGTTTCTTAAAAAGGGATGTCTGGATAAAAGTCACGGTAACATTTCCACGTGCCTTTGCATGTGCTGTCCCCGCTGCCCTGGATGCCCCTCTCTGCCCAACTGCTTGAACTCCTCATCCTCCAAGACCCAAGAGAATTGTGACCTTCTGTGAAAACAGTCCCCAATTCTCCAGGGCAGCTGGTTGCTCCTGCTCTATGTTCCCAGGCCCTGACCTTGCCCCGGCACTCAGAACACTCGATGGTGGAACCGGTGCTTCTGCACAAGAGTGAAAATTCCTCAAATGCAGAGATGTACCAAATTCATCTTTGCAACCCCAGCACATAGTTTAAGCTTCAAAGGGGCGGACTTTGGACCACAAACTCTGTGAAGGGAGGCGGTTATCATTCTACCCAGCTCCTGGCTCCCCGCATGAGCTCAAGGAGGATTGGTTGCTGCCAAAGGAATCTGAACAGGGAATTTCTGCAGCGTGAGAAAATTCTAATCTTGCAGCCATGGAGCTTTCGACAGACACTGCCTGGAGGCGCCAAGCAGGTCATGCTGGCAAATGAGTGGGTACCAAAAGGCACAAGAAGCGTTCCGGGGTGCATAAAGGCCTCCAGGGCTACAAAGCACTTGCAAAGATGACCTCGCTCTGCTCCTTCTGCCAAGAGGACTGCTCCCAAGTCAAGCGGATCTAGACCTCAGTACTGTAAGATACGAAGGTGGCGTGGAGGGAAGGAGTAAGTCAAGCTAAGAAATACATAACAGAACATATACTTATTATACAGGACTTATGGAAAAAAAGAGGAATTAACTACAGCCACGAAATACCCTATATACGACGAATAACTTCGGAAAGAATTACCGACTTTCACAAAGTGGGCTGAGGTTTACTGGGCTCTGGACTTCCTTAAGCGATATTAGAAAGGAACACACAAAATGCTGGAATGTGGGATTTCATTATCTCCAGTTTAATTTGCTTGTTTACACACACGATCTGTGTGTATATAACGGTGGCAAGAGCCATTCTCTAAATACAGTCTGGTACCCAGACTATGACAGATGCACGTGGAAAATGAGGCTTCAGTGAATGAACCTCAACAAGGAGAGGCGAAAGTGGCATGGCCGTATTCTGCGATCACAGATTCCTCAAAGTCTCTTGTTCGGCACCGGGTGCAACACTTTTCAAAACAATCGATACGAGACTATTGTTTTGTACAACAGGAGACCCAGACTCCAGAGGGCACCCAGAAGATGTTAGTTTCTCTGCCTTCTCTGGAGGAGCCACAAAGTTCTAAAGGCCTTAGTCTATAAAAAAGAGGCAGGGTGGTTATCACCTGCTAAGTATGTATGCTGGGCATTTCACACACAGCATCCTTGATCCTAACAGAATCATCCCCACTTTGCAGATGAGGAAAATGAGGTTTGCCATGGTCGTACAGGTACCAGGGGTGGTGCCAAGAACCCACATCTCACATTTGCCTGAGCCCAGAGTCTTCCCCTTTATGCCGCGTTGCCTCACGCAGGGACAGAGAGTATGCTGCCGGGAACAGACAAGGGCGCTGAGCACGAGCAGGACGCTCGGCAATCGACACTTTCCACGTAGCGCGAGTTCAGGGCTGAGCCTGACGCAGACCCACGTGAGAAGAACGTCTGGGGATTTAAGTGTGACAAAGAACTTCTGGAGTCACCCTGTGCCTACTTCCTTTCGGTGCTGAACACGAAACTTAGGAGAGATTTCAATCCCTTCAGCGAACCCCTGCCATCTGCCCGCCCTGCCTCCGCCCCTGGTTTATGGATGTAAACTCCAGGTGGCAAAAAATCCTCCCTCACTGGACCCATCACATCTTGCCATGGCTTCCAAAGCACCATGGGGACACCTCCGCTATCTCATTGCCTGTGTTTCTGTCCCTTTTGGGTACAACGTATCATGCCTCACGTTTTGATCGATAAAGTTAACCTGCTCAATTGGATACAAAACATTTTAAATATAGCTTTATATTAATAAAAGTGCCCTGAAAATTTACCTTTGAACTCCTAACAACCTAAGCTTGAGTCAGTGCTTATCAGTAATGCTATCACCAGGCTTGATTGGGGAGAGGGACATCAAAGTGGCTTTAAGAATGACCCCAAGCAGCAAGGGGCTCCGTTTGAAAGGCTTAAGGAGATGGTGGGGAGAGGAGAGGGGCTGTCCCATTGCAGAATGTGGAACTGTGCCTTTGTGGGAGGGAGGGGACAGGATTTCTAACCCTTCCCAGCACTCTCACAGTGGAGGCCACAGAGTGACAAGGTTGGAAACGGAGGAGTGTGCGAAGGGGAAAGAAAAGGTCAGCTGATTTCAAGGCCAGATGAGCAGGCCCAGGTTTGGTCTGGTTGGGGACACAAGTAAAAGGAGGGCAGGGCCAAAGTCATGCCACCGTTTCATAAGGATTTTGCAAACAGGTTGGCTTTTTGCCATCAGAGGGAGGTGTTTTATAATACTTCACTTCTGAATTATCATAACCTCGTCCAAAAGGTAAAAATGCTCTGGGCCACAGCAGAATGATCAATGTACCCAGCACGTGACCCCGAGACACTGTTCAGTCTGTGTCACTGCTCTGTGCTCAGGAAAATTTCGGTGAAAATATGCATTTTGCAAAATCACTTTGACTCAGCTTAAAATTCGTCAGGTTTTTATTAAAAATGCCGCTTTCTGGTTTTATTCTTAACAGAGAAAACAGCCCCATGACATGAAATCTAATACTATAAGCCCAGAGTTTGGTTTATAAAAAGTAAATTAGTGTTCTAAAAAAAAAAGAAAAAAAAGCCCTCAAAACAATCTACGTGTGCCAAAGTGCGGCACTGGAGTTGTCAGTTATTTCCAGGAGTTTTGTCAACAAAGAACAAATGCCATAGTTGTCACTAAAACTATAAAGCATTCACTCAAAATAGAAGAAAAAAGAGATTACCTTATTGCTCCAAAAACCAACATATAATAACAGACAACACAGACAGAAAATGTCATTGTTCACTCCGTAAGAATCATCCAATACTTGCCGCAGAGGCACTGCAGTTCAACGGGCCTGTTTTGGTGGCTTACCATGAACCAGCTGCGATAGATATAGAGATATAGAACATTCCACGAATGAAACAAATACTACAAGAGAGTGTGTTTCAGGCATTGGGTGTTTTATAAAGAACCCTGCCAAAAATAAATGCTAATACGAAATTGGCCAGAGGGAAATGCTGTTAAATAACAGCATTCGAGGCCATCAAAATCAAAGGCAACTAGAGTCAGGGAGACGGCAGCAGAGTCCTGAGGCTTCTGCCTCCCCCTCAGCCACACAACGGGGCTTTGCTGACCCTGTCCTTTCGCTGAGCCTTGGCTCTCCCTTCCAGGGACAAAAGGGGTGTTCCAGATTAAGGTCAAGTCTTAGCAGGGACAAAACGTGCCTGACTGGGGATGGTGGTGATTGTGACACAGGTGACATCGCCAAGAATAGCCTGAGGACGAAAGTCACTCCCCAGATTCCACCACCACCCACCCAAACCGCCTGGGAAGCTTCCCCTCTGAAGTAGGATCAATAATTTAGCCAAATAACTAAGCAAAAGAAATGAAAAATATATCAGCCACTGTCTGCTGTCCCCCCTTTTGTTTCTCTTATTTCTTGTAACTGTCTTGCTTTGAATTCAAACTGGAGCTCTGGGGAGGAAGTCCTGGGGAGAAGGATTTCAGATACCAAAACCCGTACGTGCCATACCAGCTCAGCAAACCAAAAAAGGTGCCAAACACTTTCTGGGACAAGTTGTGGAAATAAACGGCTGTGCACAGAAACATCAGTACCCAGATGCAAGTCAGGAAGCCCAGGGCAACCACCAGGGTGGTGATGGCGGTATGGAGGTTGTGGCTTCGGTCCGTCTTTACCTCCTGCAGCACGGACATCTCCTCCACGATCATGAGGGCACAGAAGGTCAGCAGGAAGGAGTGGCCTGAGATGTCAAAGCCGTGCCAAAAGCCTCCTTCCCTGTGGCACTGCTGCTTGCTCTGGTACTCCTTTCTGATTCCCTCCAGGGCCGGCGAATGGTAGCAGTTGCCCGTGTAGTGCTCGATGTTGGAGAAGAGGGACGTGCAGATGTACCAGATGGCTGTGCCCACGAGCAGCGTGCTCAGCCGCCGCAGGACCAGGCCGGCCTTGCCTGTCAGGTGGTAGTTGGTGAGGGCAATGAAGGGCAGGAGGAGACAGAACGTCCAGGCCCAGGCCAGTTTGACAAAATACCTGACAGAGGAGGAAAGTGGAAGTGAAGACATGGAACACGGCAGAGGAGAAACAATGTCATGACTCAGGTGTCTAGCCTGCCAGGGGAGGGAAAATGAGAAAACTTGATCAAAGCTATAGAGCACAACAACTATCACTTTCTTCACTTACTAAGTACTTTGAATGTATTAACTATTTCATCCTTAAACAAGTCTACGAAGTAGGTACAGTTATTATCCCCATTTTACAGATAAGAAAACTGAGGCATAGAGAAGTGTCATGTCCAAAGTGGAGGCGGTATGTGGTGGAGCTGGGATTCTAATCGAGGGTCTGTGGTCTTAAGTACTATGTTATTTACTCAGGAAAGCACCTACTAAATGTCACGAGCTTTCACACACATTCACTTTCCCATAGAACACTCACAATTACCCTGGAGGAAAGTATCATTGTCCCATTTCGTAGACAAGGAATCTGAGGCTCAGAACAGTTCGCTACCTTACCCAGGGTCACATTCATACGACCAACAAGCACAGATTAAACCACAGTTTGGCCAGCCCAAAACCCATGCTTTTTCTACCATATCACGTTTTTTCCCAAATAGCAGAAACACCTTGGAACAAAGAGCTTTACTTCAAGCCAAAAGATTCAGCTTCAAATTCTGACTCTGACTTAACTTGTTACTTCACCTCTCCAGGTCTCGGTTTCCTTAGCTGTTAAATAGAGCTGGGGGAACCCAATGATTTTTAAGACCCCTTCCAGATCCAATGATCTACTAGTTCCCTTCCATTAATTGTAATAACACACAGGCTTGGAACGAAACACCCGACTCCATGGCTACCCCCAAACAACAGACTTGTCTGCCAGGCTGCTTGGCTCTTGGCTCACCCCGGACAGATATGGCAGCAGCTGCCTTGTCTGCCTCCTGTGCTCATGAAGGGTGGCTGACCTAGGGACCAGCTGCAGTAAACATTTGACCCAAGACTTGGGGCTACCACCACTTTCATAATCTATTCTTAGCCCAGCCTCTCAGGGTGGGTGAGGAAGGAACGTGGGCTAAGGACAGAAGGACTCTTTCCCGGGTTCCAACAGTTTCTCAGGCACCGCCCAAGTGCCTGTCACTAAAACCTTCACTGAGACTGATAAGGAGAATATTGCCAGAGCCAAGACCCATCAGGCATTTGATGAAGCTGACTGGGAGAGAAACCAACAGTTTAAGTAGATAACCAAAGTTGGGCTGACTTTCAGAAGATGCTGGAGACACTAATTCTGCGGAAAAATTAGGCTCACATCAAAGGAGCAGTTTTATCTTTCAGAGTTTTCCTTTATTACTGCAACTGTGTTTTTGTGCAATAAACTTACAATCCAAGAGGTTATTTTGAACAAAAAAAAAAGAAGAAGAAGAAGGAAAGAAAAAAAAAAAAAGAAAAGGAGTGGGTGGGTGTAATTAAGGAGATGTCTCAAAGAGCCCAGCTGGGATTGCTTTTCTGGGCCACTGCCATGCACTTTGGGTGGCTGAGAAGGGCCAAGGACCAAGGAGATCCAGGGGAAAGGTCACAGACTGAAGGTTCCATTCCTCTGTGAGTGTCTGGGAGTGGGGGCTCTGTCACAAGTTGGAGCAAGGCTCTCAAAGTCGGAGGGGGGGATCTTTCACAGATCATGATGGGATTCCCTGACAAGCTGGGAAGCAAGAGGGAGGTGGCATCTCCCAAATAGGGCAGGGGCCAACTTCTAACTCCAAGGGGAGGTTGCGGGGAGCAGCCACTGGGCTGGTTCATCCCCCCACCCCACCCCACATCCTTACATACAAACACAGACGTACACACAACCCTGTTCCTCACTGCCTGCCCAGCCTAGCTCAGGCTATCCTATCTGGGTATGCAAACACGAACTGCTAGTGACACTAGCTATTCCGGGGTCCCTCAGTCGCGTGCAGACGCTGCTGTCACGACTAGGACGATTTCCCTTTCAATGACTCGTCCCCCAAGGCAGCCAGCCCCCGGCTTCCCTGGCTTTGGCGGGGACGGGAGAGGACCCGGGTGCACTCACACGTTGAGGACGTTGCGTTTGTTGCTCAGGTAGCTTTCGGGCAGCGGCGAGAGCTCCTTGAGGAGGGAGCCCCCCAGCATGGAGGCCACCAGCGCCCACGGCAGGTAGCGCCGCACGGCCGCCCGCACCAGCGTCCCCCGGAGAAACCACGCGCAGCGCTCCAGGTGCTCCATACCCGACCTCATCGGCCACCGTCCGCCTCCCGTGCCCTCTCGGCCACCGTCTCACCCTTCGCCCGGGCTGGTGCCGCCGTCTCCATTTGAGCGCATGCGCGCCTCCCGCAGGCCCCACCCCTCGCGGGGCTCCTACGCGCTCCCCCTCGTGGCCACTGGCGGCCTCTGCCGTGTGCCCGTCTCCGAACTCCCCTCTCGCTGCTCCCGCCCCGCCGCCTGGCGACGCGCTCCGGGTACTGCAGGGTCCAGACAGCCCCTGCGTCTGGCTCTGGTCTGCGCTCGTGGGAGTATTTGCAGGAGCTTGGGGGAGAATAAATGTGGACCTGTAGGAACCACAGCAGTGGTCACAGCATCATTTAGTCTCTCTTGGAGACTTGGAGACACTGCCTCCATCTGAGCCTCAGTTTTCTCATCCGTAAAGTGCGGGTGACGAGGAGATCAGCCTTTCCCGAGAGTGAGTTTCTGAACTCAGGGGTTCATGACGTTGGTTCAGGTATAGGGAGGACATGAGATGAAATTTCATTAAAAAGTTATTAAATGTAAATTTAAATTTTTAAATTTATTTTCACTTTTAAAACGGCTATGTATATTAAATAAAAATGGTGGACGGAGAGGGTTAATGCAGATCACCCGAGGCTGTCGGTGACTCAGTGTGATGCCTAATCAAGCATTTCCCAACCTTGACTTATTCCTTTGCTCCTGTATTAGTTTCCTGTGGCAGCCATAACAAATTATCATGAACTCGATTTAAAACATCAGAAACTTGTTCTCTCACGGTCCAGAATCAAGGTGTCTGCCTGGTTGGTTCCTTCTGGAGGCTCTACGGGAGAACCCCTTCCATGCTTCCCTCCTAGCCTCTGGTGACTGCCGGCAATCCCGGCATTCCTTGGCTTGTAGCTGCACAACTCCAGCCTCTGCCCCCATCTTGGCTGTCTCCCCTCTGTGTCTCTGTGTGGCTGTCTTCTCTCCTGTTATAAGGATACTGGTCATTGGATTTAGGGCACACCTTAACTCCAGGATAATCTTATTTTGAGATCTTCAATTTAATTACATCTACAAAGACTATTTCCAAATAAGATCACATTCCCAGGTACCAGGGGTTAGGATTTGGACATATATTTTTAGGGGTCATCATTCAACCCATTACAGCCACCTTAACTACTCTTGCTATGTCCATATACCACGAATTCTATTACTTACTTAAATCTGTATCTGTCTTTAAACAACATACATTTACAACATATACCTACTGAACAGCCTCCCAAGCAAAATTATCCGTGAAATCATGGATTCTGTGTGCCAGTTATATTTCTTGTATTACAAAGAAACATTTCTATCAAAATAGTCATCATTGCTAGCCACCTAAAAAAAATCTTACATCCCTATACCAGTGATGGCTGCCACACTTTGGGAAACACTTGTCTGACTTATGTCTACAATGGACTGATGTTTAAAGTCTTGTGCAGAGAATCAACAAATTAATGAAAATAAAAGTAATAATTCCTTAAAATCACTTTAAGATTATCTTCATATCTGTAAATTACATTTATCCGATCAGAGTTCTTATGTAGCAAGATGTCTCCGGGCCTTCCAAAAGCTAGGTTTTAGAAAGAAAATAGAGGGATAATTATTTCAATTTGGATTTTCATGATTGGGAATAAAAACTATACAGCCAGAAAAGTGTTATTTGTGAAGGCAGCTTGTAAATAGTATCTGAAACCACCTGTAGCGCCTTAAGGTTAGCAGGTGCTCAATTATTAATATTATCATTTTCCGTAGGAAACGGCTTGGTAGTTAAGAGCAGAGAGGCTGGGATGTGCCAGCTCCACATCCTTATTAGCTGGGTGGTTCCCCCAGTGAAAATCCAGATGCTGATCCCCAACCTAAGGAAAGGGGAGAGAAGACGGCTGGGAACAGTAACACAAGACATCACCCCAAGGGACAGTCACCAAGGTACCTCCTGAAAGTTTCAGAATTCGTATTTCTGTAAAAAGGAAATGAATTGGTTTCATTTGAAACTATGCAGCTTCACTCCTGCAGATTTTTGAAGGCTGCGTTAAATCCAGGCTTGAAAAAGTGTTGCGGGTCTCTAGAGCAGTTTTCATATTTTTAAAAAACTTCAACCCATGTTAGGAAATCCATATTTATGTTGTGAATCCAATGATGTGCCGGAGCCAACTCATACTGGCCTGTGAGAGCTGATCATTAAATTTTCAGAACTTTTGTAAGCCGATTGTTAAATGCAGCCAAATTTTAAGAATTGCATTATATAAACCAGCAGGCTCAAAATAAACAGTCAAAACTCATCACTTCCTGATTATTTTACTATGTATTATTATCTATGCTCTTGGGGTTACTTACATCTGTTGTACCTACATGGTACACTCCTGTGCAACTCTTCCCAACTCTATGTCCAGTGATATCACACTTGAAATCAGCCGTGGTGGGGGTATTTACACTAAGGAAATTGGCAAGTGCTACCTATTAGGGATTTATTTGGTTTGTCTGCATTGGGATGCAATTCCATTTGTCAAAACACAGTTGAATTGAAACCATAGACTGGCTGTAGATATAAGAATCCAACAAAAATCAATTAAAGCATTCTATGAGAATCAACTAGCTGTATTGACAATAGAGAGTATATATTTCATTATTTGTAAATAATGTGCTATACATTCTATTACATTAAGAAAAAATTATAATAAACTTAGGTATGCATATACTTAAACATGTTCCCCTAGAGAGCCAGTTGTCAAACATTTATCAACAAACCACTGGTCATGATTCAGTACACACATAAAAATATATATGTATTAATATCATATAAGTGAATATATATGCTGATAGGTGTATTGATATAAATACAGCTCAATTTTTCATAGAAATAGAAACAACAATCCTAAAATTTATATGGAACCACAAAAATCCCTGCAGAGCCAAGGCAATCCTGATGAAAAAGAACAAAGCTGGAGGCACCACACTGCCTGAATTGAAACTATACTACAAAATGACAGTAATTAAAACAGCATGACACTGGCATAAAAATAGACACATCAACTAATGGAACTGAGTAGAAGCCTAGAAATGAATCCATGCATATATGATCAATTAATTTTTGACAAAGGTGCCAAGAATACACGATGGGAAAAGAATAGTTTCTTCAATAAATGATGTGGGGAAAACTGGTTATCCGTATGCAGAAGAATGAAACTGGACCTTAACTCATACTATATACAAAAACCAACTCAAAATGGATTAGAGATTTAAAC